CCTCATGTCTAAACTGGCCATTCCATATTTCCTTCTCCCTTCCTCTTATTTTGCCACTCTGCAAGAAGTAGACTTCCATATGTGAGAAGACATAGGGTCAGAAGAAGGATTAATAAACAGCCCAGATTGCATGCAGCATTCTGTATCTCAGCAGACGTTGGAGAATGCTATCAATTTTGTGTCAGAACATGACAATAACAACTGTCGGTAAGAGTTGTAAATAATAAAGTGTCTGGTAAGAGAAAGTTACTGAAGACTTGTGAGCAAAAACTGAAACTCTTTTGGCTTTCTAGCAGAGCAGAAAGAACTCTACTAACTCTGCATTGGTAGAGTGAAGATGTGCTCAGATGGGAATAAATAAGGTATGGAATACCTAAAAGCCAAATTTTGAGATGCGGTATTACATCTGTCTCCTTTTGACAACAATCAGAAATGGAGATGGCTCAGCACATCACAGGATTTTTCAAAGGCAGACCTGGCAGTAGCATTTTTTTATTTTAATGCTTCAGACATAATCTTAATTTCACATCAAGAAATGCATCTGCAATTAATTTAACTTTAGTCATCATGTATAATCAAAAATAATTATACACACAGACAGATCAGACTCCTGGTTGTGTGCTCTTTGGTGTTTGCACAGAATTGCTGTGGCGCACATACGAACACAGTTCAAGTCAAAGTTACAACAGCATATTGACCATTATGTTTACATTTTTACTATAATACATCTTTCCAAAGTTCCACGTAAATAAATTTTCAAACTGCAATGCAAAAATAATTTTTGAAAGACCAGCATAACAAAGTACTATTTCTATTTCCAGAGGAAGCCATATTGTTTACAGAGTTTTGCAAAATTGAGAAAACTTCAAGATTTTTCAACTTTGACATTAACACGGATTTCACAAATACTATTCAAAACCTTCTTCACAGGCAACAGAACATTGCCAATATTTCAATATAAATCACAGCTTCCACAACACCTCTATAAAAAGATTTGGGAAGAAACACTTACAGTAGTATATTTAGCGTTCTTCACCTAGCATTACATGCATGTTGGAGTACTCATATACAATTCAGTTCTCTATGATAATACTCAGTCCCCCATAGCAAAATTACAAAAACATCAGTGAGGGGAGAAAGAACCCCAAACCATAAATAATTTATAATTTTGTATTTTTGAAATAAAATCTCACTTTAATTTAGAAATTCAATAGCATATTCCTGTGCTTTCAGACTAATCAGAGAATCATAGTTGTGCATCATTTGTATTTATGTACACCTGAAAACCACTCTTTGGTTGCATTACCACAAAAAAAAAAAAAGTAAACAGACAAGGGATAGCAGATTAAATGTTATAAGCTTAAATAAGTAATTTTCAGTATTTTAACTTTTGTACTTCATAACACCCATTGTATGGATGCTCACAAAATTAATCTGAATATCTGCATCAATATTTAGTGAGATTATGGGAAATGCCACTTTCCAGTAGATAAAATTAATACACAGCCTTAATGAATTCGCTACATACAAGGTCTTTTTTCTTAATTTGCATCAAATGGGAAAAAAGACAATAGCCTCTATAAATACTTATGAAAATAGATATAGATGAAGTCAGCAGTAATTTCCTGGCACAAAATAGGAGCAATTTCAATGTCATTTTAAAGATAAATGTGCATTTTTCACAACAATTAATCATGGTATAAATCCTACTGCACTGGATTGCAAATAACTTCAGCTGAATAAAATTGCATGACATGGGATTTACTTATTCTCTATGTTCACAGAAACAACTTGTTCTCTGACAGCACTCATTCTTGGCAATTTATTGCACTTGTCAGCAGCCCATTTGCTCAGATTAGTGCTATGCATAAAGGTGTAACAGTCATGAGGATTTATTAACTGACAATCGTAAAGGTGACAGTCAGAATTGCCTTCAAAAATATAAATTATAAGAAAGCTAAATTATTACACGATGATTAAATCATCTTCATTTTGATTTTAGTATTACCTACATACACTTACTGCAGTACGTTTTTAATCACAGGACCATATTGACTCAACATAGTACATAAATTATTTGCTCATAGCAAAAATGTGAATATTAAATATATTCACTGAAAATATACACACATACATATTTCTACTTATCAGATGTAGCAATAACTAATGCCACTTATGCAAGTCTATACATTTCTTTAAATGCAAGAAGGCAGCCCATGTGGCTTTAGCACCTAGTGCCTTCCATAAAAAGAACTTCTAGACCTCATTTTTTGGTCCTGGAATGTTGATTGTTTTTTAAAAAGCTGTATTCAGAAGGATGGAAGAATTAATCTCCTGTAAAACGCAGCTCAGTTCTAGTCAAGTATAGTGTTTTCTCATACGAATCAGCACACGATTGGAAATACATTTTCGTCAAAGCTCTTGTATGAGGTCTTTTCCCAGGCTTTTGAAATACTGGAATAAACACTGAATTGGTTGTAAGGATATAGAGGATATAAGATTGTAAGGACATATGTAGAATATTCTGAGATGGAGGTTCACAAGGTGCTACAACCTTTAAACTCTCATGAAGAATGCACACAATTGAAATTCAAATGTATTTTATAAACAAAATGCTCCAAGGTAAGAATGGAAATCAACCAGTCAGCATTTCATTTCAGACACTGCCATACTCAACATGCCTGGACGTGAAGATGAAGACAGAGTTGCATGCTACTTCTGCGACAGACATCTCCTTCCATTTTTCTGAACTAGATGTCATGCTGTCACTCACCCTTTTACCACCTTCCTCCCTCTCACAGGCAGATCTTACCAGCCATCCCTTCCACTTCCAACTTCACCACCCAAAAACCAGAATCTCACTTCCACATCCTTAACCTTCTTGGACATCTTTCCTGTGTTTTTCTGCCCTCAGAAATGGATTGCAAGCTCAACTCCTTGCACCATTGCTACCATGTCACATTCCCAGCTTTCACCTGCCCTTACTGTGCTCCAGCCTAACAAGGACAATAATATACAAGGGCCAAAGAAGCCTATGTTCTTGATTTCCCACTTCTATTTCACAAAAGTGCAGCTGAGACATGGTATCATTCCGGGAGAGTTTACAGCATTCTGGTTCTGAATAGAATTTGCAAGTAACGGAGCTTAGAGCAGAAAAACCACAGGTTTTCTGTGCTATTTTCCAGGAAGATCCTGGAATTTTTCCCTTCTACCTTCCACCTGGGAAACCTTTTCTCAGTTTGGTCAGTTCTTCAATCTAGCGTGCTTCTCCCTAGGCATATTTTGTCCAGGCAGGACATCTTCAAGAAACAGTTGTTTCATTTGTATTTAATATAAATATTCTTATATAACATTACAGCTGCTGCTTGCACATTATTCAAGGAAGCAGGAAGATCTCAGCAAGATGAAATGGATTACCCTTCATTCTTGAGCAACGGTAGAATGCTACCAGGAAGTCTTTTGTTTCCCTCCCACAGCCTCATTATCACTTCTTCTGGAACCTGAATCAAGATATTCAACTTATTATGTGTATCTTGAAAGCCATAGAGCCTTAGTAATGGAGCACGACTCAGTTGGGCTTTTAAAAACTAATACACACTTACCATAACACATGCATAGAGCAAGTCTGTAGTGTGTGCACCAAAATATTTCCAGCTTTTAGGGACAGCCTTGAAAGGAGAAACTGGGGAAGAGAGGTCAGCATTAAGTGGAGCTGTCAGGTGTTGGTGATTTTTATCTGGAGTGACTGGAAAAGAATATCAGGGAGGGGGAATATTAAGACCTATTTTCATATTCAGATTGAGCTTGACAAATGACAGTTTTTGATGGAAATCTCCTTCTCCTGGAGAAGAATTTTTTTGCAGGTTACATTAGCAGAGATACGGTACCAACAGAAGGTGAAATGAGAGAGTGTCTCCAAGGACAAACTGAAGAGGGATTATATGTACACTGACAGAAGGGTCAAAAAAATCAAGAGCAGCACGATTTCAGCAAGTGGTGCTTGGATGACGATGCTCTGAAAAATCATTCATGAAAACTTTGTATCTCACCAGATTTTCCTAAGAAGGTTAGAATGAAAAAGAAAACTGGAATAATTTCCCAAGGTATATAACATGTTGACATAGGACTAAATTAGTACATTACTGCAGAAAAATATTGATAGTCATCATACCGTAATATGTGAAAGTGATAGTGAAGGCACCTCCAATAAAAACAATAAAATATATAGGATTAATAATTATTAATTATTAATACTATTATTATGACTGTGAGGATATCAAGGAAAATATGAAGTAAACAAATATCTGTTTGCTTTCCAAACAACAACTAATTTTTAGTAGCTATAAGTGCAAGACATTTTTTGCTCTATTAGCTAACAGTTAATGCCACCTCCTATTTGGTAAAATGGAGCATAGCCATACAAATATAAGCTATTTCTTGAACTCCCAGACAGATTCACTTTTCCTGAGTATGAATTAGGTGAATGATTCTGTCTCAAAATATGTGTGTAGTCCTTCAACTCTATTTTTATTTACCAAAAAGATTGGTACATAAATTTGATCTTATGCATCAAGCCAAGAGTTATTTCTCCTCCAAGCTGGATTTTGCTATATGGAACCCCCTGCACCTTGGTAATTGCCCTAAACAAGGGACTTTTATATTTGAAAACCTCAGTCTATCAATTGGTAAAAGCTGCCACCTACTGGTCAATAAAAATTATATTACATCATCAATGTAAAGAATTACAGAAATGCAGCAAATTTTACTGGAACATTGCAGAAAATACTCCCTGAACTTAAAAAACAAACAAACAAACAAAAAAAAAAAAACCCAAAAAACAAAACCCACACACACACAAAAACCCAAACCAAACCAAAACAAAAAAAACCCCAAAACAAATGGTCGTAAGAAACTGCTTCAATGGCAAAGCTCATTTTAATCATCCTCTCTCATGGACTTCTCTCCTCCCTGTGGACCAAGAAGGCTAAAACTGCACAAACCTGCCAATGAAATCATCCTTTTTGCCAACATCTTTGTCCCACACGGTAATATCAATAATTCCACCTCGTTCTTCATAGAGATGAAAGTCAAACTGCTCCCTCCACTGAGGATTCAAAGTTTTTGGAACAATCTAAAAGGAGAATAAAAAGAAAGTTGCATTACATTGCATAGGCATACACTTTCTTAAATTGTAATTTCGATCATTAAAGTCTGTTCAAGAAGCTTTTTCTGTCTGCAATATCAATTTCTCAAGCAGTGAGAATTAAAAAAATGGTAATTAGGAAAGACTACTAGCCAGTTCTCTCATGCCTCTCTGATGTAGCAGCAACCTCCAAAATCCTGCAACCTGTCACCTTCAAAAGCCTCCTGAACAAAGAATTTGTCCTGGGAATGGATCCATTTCTCTGTAGAAAAATTATGTTCTCTGTGAAGTGACAGTTAGCTATAAAGTTATGTTTCTAAGCCCAAAGTTAAACAAAGCACCTGCAATGACAGATGGTGACTGTAAGTACTTAAACAAACAATTGTATCATGTCCTTTTTTCTCAGCTGCAATAATATTGCGAGAAACATGTAAATGGCTTAGTATGGCTTACTCTCCATGGAATAAAATAGTTCACTTCCAAAACTGTATTTTGCTTCCTTTCCTTTGAAACTCTGATGAAAGCAGCTTTCTTAATAATTTCACTCCAAATTTCCAAATTTTGTACTCTAATGCAAAAGCAGTATTCACTGTCCTAAATGAGAATAGAATACTCCTAATATCTTCCCTATTTAGCAAACACTACTCCCTACAACCACCAGTTCTACCGGCTTGAAAAAAAAGAAAATTTAGAAAGGATTATGAAAATATGTAATTCACAAAAGGATGTCATTTTATTTCTTCTAATTTCAGATATAGAGGCCCTAATGCAGGCTCAGAGGTCTACAAATATGACAAGAAAATGTTCCTGCCCTCTTCCTGAATTTAGTCTTCATCTGGCTACGAAAACCACAGTGACTGTCATGGCCATGAAGAGAGGAAGGTTATGTGCATCATTGACAGTCCCAGCATCTCCCCTGAAAACAGCAATTTTCAAAATGGCAGGGACCAAGAGAAAAAAAAGTAGCAACAAAGTCTTCATACTAGTTATCTCCTCTCTATCGGTGAAACTCATACATGAAGATACCTTTAATGAAACTTGTTGTTAATGACATGAAGAGGAAAGTGAGCTTATGAACATGACATGGTTTGATGATAAGACAATGCAAAGGGTCCATGAGGCACCCAGCATCAAGCCAGGCAGACCTAATCAGAATCACTCTGCATCTCCTCCCGGCCATGAATAACCCCTAACAGTATGTAAAAGCCAACACAGCTCCTGTATGGAACATTAGGTGTGTCCCCCTGCAAACCCACATTTTTCAGTGCAACATATTTTCCCATCTAGTACTATTTTTGTTTATAAAGAAACAAAAAGAAACATTTAAACAAAGCTCCAGGAGCTCTGACAGGTAATTATTACAATAAATTTTCATCACCATTGAAAGTCATACAAGATAAGAACACCAAACAGGAACAAAGCATTTAAAAAAAATTTTGGTTGCATCTAAAATTACCTTGCTCTTGTACTTCTGATGCCCCAAACGAAACTTCACATAAGGATCGCTGAGCCCATTTGCATCCATCGGCTTAAGTTCACGACCTTCTATTAAGGTAACACTAACTATCCCTCTCCATAACTGAGACTTTCTGTGCAGGTCTGAGAGACGTAAGCTCTGGGTCTGAAACTTTACGGGAACAAAAGAATAGATTTAGTTAACACAATTCCAAAAATCTCCCCTGCTTTTAACGTTCTATTTCATGTAACTCTGAATATAAAACAACCAGTAAAGACATTTTGAAGCTATTTGGACAATACATATGCAAACTATATTGCAAAGAATTATTTGGAGAGTAATAAAATTGTGACAATTACACAGGAAATGTCATGCTGCTTTTGCAGAAACAAACAGAACAAAAAATGCCCAAAGAAAGGTTCATTTTTAAGAAAGGGGTTTCTTTCTGCTTCACTTCTTCCTCTGCTGATACAATAAAAATAAATGTTAGAAAGTCTCTTCTATTAGTAGCATAGATTCAATTAAATTGAACAAGCTTCATATTTATAAACATAAACCCTGTTGAGAATATAATCTTCCCTTAGAATAACATAATATAAACGCACCATGAGAAATATGTATCAAGGAAAAATTATTGAATAAACTCCTCTATCTCTGCCTCTGAAATGATGTGGTACTCTCAGAAACATGAATTGAGTACCAGAATGTAAGTTCCAGAGTTTGGAAAGAACAAAACCTCTGTTCAGAATTGTATAGAGGCTTGTGGATTTGTGGACTTGTGAACCCTCAGCCACTGATTCTGGGCGTCAAAATAAGATTCGCACACATAAACCAGGCAACTACAGCTTTGATCAATGAACTCCACTGGGGGTTTGAGAGCAGGAGGATATAAACTTGAGTAATTTAAGATAATTTCCAGTTTGCTCTGAGCTACAGTGGGTACAAGGAACCAGAACTGGGGAATCCCCTTTGCACTCCTAAGGAAGACAAATGTGCCTTGAATGCACCCAAGAAGCAATGCTGGTAAAGGCTCTCCCTTCTATTCTGAAACTTTATTCATTAAATGCTACCTTATATATAATCAGAACACTAGATAGCTAAACTATATTTTAAATTGCAAATTATTTTCTCTAGGAATCAATAAAGGAAGGCTGTATGTATACTCTGCTGTAACTATAACTTTATTATGCAATATAGTTTGAGCAACAAAGGCTTTGTGGGCTCAGCAACCTGCACACATGTAGGTCTTGCATGCCTGGCTTCATCCCTCACAGACCTCCACTATCTCTCTAAGAGGGTTTCAGTGCAGGTTTGGTTTTAGTCTTTTAGACAGTAAACTCAGCTGGATGGCTACAGCTATGCAGGTGCCCAGGACAGGGGTTTTACTCTATTACCCAGAGACAATGATAGAGATTAGACTGGATTACAATCATGCTCACCCAGGCTCCAGAGAGAATAGACATGAGAACTGTGGCCACTGGGCTTGGAGCAAATATGATTAACATACTTTTTGCAGTATTTCAGGTATTTTTTGGCATGCGTTTGTGTTTTCTAATGGTTATTCCCTCCAAGTATTATGGTTCAAAATATTTCACTACATTTATTAAAGGTTTCTCTTCCTGAAGTGAAGGATTTGACTGCAGAGAAACTTTTCATGAACATGCTGTTTCTACAAAGGCAAACAAGGAACTGTGTGTGGAATAATCTTGAACTTAACCTGCAACGTGTAGCAGCAGTGGGACATCAGATGGCAGACCCTCTACAAAAATTAGGGCAGAATTGGGAAAATCACTTGCCAGAAGAGATTTCATTTATAACTTGGGAGCATTATATGAACTTTTTCTCAGCACAAATACACCTCTCATTGAGGGCATACTGTCAATATTACCAATAACTTGATTTGTGAAGAAGTGGTAATTTTTTTTTACTGTTCCAGTTTCTCAGAAGGCTTAGAGCAAAACAAAGACTGGTTAGTAAATAACTGGCTCTGCCCTGAACACAAGATGATGAGAGATACAGAAAGAAGACCAGACATGCCAAGGAACGTATTTAATATTGGGATATAACCAGTGGTTGAGATTACTTCTGCAAAGAATATACAGTTCTTGGGAGTTTTAAGAGCTGAATGGGTATCTATATGATTTCCAGAAGTCTATCATGAGCTTGCATTTAGAACTCTTTTGAAGTAAATCTTAAGAACACTGCATAGCTCTCTACTTCTTTATCAGTGAGATAGTGCAAAATTTAGAGAGTATACTTGACCTAAATTTGTTCTTTTCAGCAGCTCTTACAATAATTTGCTGCACTAGATCTGCCCCATCATCAAGTGAGATGATTTTTTTTCTGACCAGTCAGGAGTTTCATCAGTGTAATTCATCAGGGTAATTTCCATACAAGGTAGCCAGGTAAGATCTAGATGACCTAGAGCTGGGTGTAAAATGACAGACAGGTCAGACAGGAGTTTACAAGAGTCAGGCAGGAGGCTGGAGAACAAGTGTTCATGCGCTGCAGGAGGAAGCCCTCCCAGGTCACAGCCACATCTTGAGAAATGACAATGACAATCAAAGCTTTATGCAGACCCTAGTGGCATCCTGACTGACACTGAAGTTCCAGAGACTATGCCTTGCCATGCTGGAAGAAAAGCAAGCAGCTGCTAAAAAGAGGTATTGGTTGGTTGTGGATGTTTCTTCCTCAAGGTAGTCAATGTGGACCACATTGAACAGTGCTCATTTCTGTATTTATTGGTAACACACAGATACATGGAACAGCAAAAGGGAGAAGTATTGAAAGAGCCAGAGCATAGCTCACTGAAGCTAAAGCATTGAGATTTCCTGGACATGAAAGGCATAGTCTATGTGGCCTTCTCCAGCAAGAATAACTTCCAGCTGGCACTTTTCTTGTTTCTAAGCAAGACCGAAGAGAATCCAACATGCTTTTCTTCCAGTCAAAACCCCACTTATTCTCAGAAATTACTGATAATTTACTGACATAACCACTTTTTTCATATAATGAAAATTCTTGTAGGAATAAAAACAGAAAAAAAGAATGTTCAGATTTCAAGTCAAATATGACAAAAAGGTAGCTGAAAAAAATGGGAAAGTAAGACTGATTTTCACATTCTTTCCTTATGAATTTAATTTCACAGTGGGAGACAGGCACATTTCTAGGTACATTTCCATGTATCTAAGAAGCCTGTAAAATCCAGCCCACAGTGAGATACAAATTCAGAAGGGTAACCATGTGAATAAAACAATGAAATGAGCATGTATCTTTCTCAATTTCTCCTATTAAGGACTGTTTCTCAAGACTTATCCTTAGGCAACTTGCTTCCCTCAGAAAGCACGTAGTGAGTATTGCAGCCTAGATTCACTCTTGTGCTACAAACAGGAAAAAAAAAGAAGAAACTGCACAGCTTTTCATTTGTCTGTAAATAGGTGGGAAGTTACAAATTTCATATAAAATGCCACAATTTGGAAAGAATCTAGATCAAAATCTCAGTCCACAACCATCATTAATGTAGGAATATTGTTTATACTATTCACATTTTTGTGCAGGCATAGTGACTCCCATCTGATACGTCCTGAACGCCCAAAGAGAGGGGTGGTGAGTAAGTTGCAGCCTGCATGCAATGAAGTTTTCTCCCTCTCTCTTTTTTTAAAGGAAATTTAAATTTGACTTCTGAAAAGGAGTCTTTCATGCCAAAGGATGCTCAAGGCTACCTGTGAAAGAAAAACTCACATATTTTCATTTCCATGCACTGCTTTAATGCTTAATAAACAGCAAGCAAATCCAGCACTTTCTTATGTGAAAATCACAGTTTTTATTTGTGTTCCACCTATTCTGTGGAAATGTGATGTAGTGGGTGAGCTAGGGGCAGATGAGGAAAGAACCTTCTGACAGAACTGCACCCTCTGCTAGATGTGATTAATACAGCTAGCCAAATGTCAGAACTGAAAGATGATCTAATAAACATGACTTAATATTCTGCATGTGTTCAGGTATTTCTGGATAACATTAAAGGATGGGAAACCAACAAGGCTTAGTCAGAATCTGGGCATTGATCCCAGGATAATCAATACCACATGGCTGATGAGCTATTGTTATTTTTGTCAAAAGAAGAGATGCATTTTATTGGTATTTTTGAAAATCCCCTCATATTTTTGTTTATCTTTGGGTAGCTGTGTGTCCTCTGAAACTTTAGTCCATATGAAGTGGGAGAAACCCCACACATTGTCTTCTCCCAGTCCAATTTCATTTCTTCGTTGATCAGCCCTCGTGCCCTGCAAAGTACCACCTTTCCCACTGGTATGTGCTTGTACAAGCAGACTCTGCTTTTATTAAATCCCCTCCTTATTACATGCACCCCTAAGACACACTGCTTCTCTGAGTCCTGGGACACAATAGACAGAAATAGAAAAGTCTACCACAAACTTATTAATTTTTTTAAAAAGCAAATCAATAATGCACTTATATGACCTGCAGAGGCACTTCAATCCAAAAAGTAACTTTGGTTTCAAAGCTCAAAAAAATATCAATCAAGAAAGTAGTGAAAAAATATAGAAAAGAAAAATACTTCTCTCCACCACTTAACAGAGCACAGATATAGAAATATAGCAAAGTGAATCAAAGTCAGTGTTGCAAATTACTGCTGTAAATTCATGTAAACAGAATTCCTCTCCCCCAGTTTCTAGGATGCTCGCAGACCTTGGATAAACAATGTAAAATAAAGATTGGGAATTTCAGTAGATACAACTGCTAGCTTAATGTAGAAAACAATGAAAAAATCAAGAGACGGTCACATGCATTTGCAGTGCTTTTCCTGTATTAGAAGTGACAAAAAATACAACCTGAAAAGTCTACTCTATGTAGTTCCTACACTGTATGTCAGAGCAGAGTTTGAACTGGATTGAAATATTTTTACATTATGACAATGCAAAATATATAAAGTAATAATTTAAAATATCCTCACATGGTTTTTTCATTATACTAGAGTTCTAAACTTATAACATTACACATTTAGTATTATATGTAATAGCTGCAGTTAAGAATGATAGGAAGTAGACCTTCTCAAACCTTGAGGTCCAGCTGTGTGTTTCCTGAAGAGTGTTTGGTGAGGGGAAAAGAGGCTGGGGTCAGCCTGTGTCCTCAGTCAGCCTTTCCAGGTTCTGAGA